CACACACACACACACACACACACACACACACACACACACACACACACACACACTTGTGCACACCCACACACTCACAAACACACAAACACACACACACACAAACAGAAACACACCCGTGCGTGCACCCATGCACACATAATAATATAAACATAAACATACACGCACACATAAGTTCACATTCATGCTAACGATCATCTCTAATATTTCAGACATAAGTTATAGCGTACCTGGCCTTATTCACCCAAGACGCTTAGGGCTTGAGCGAAGTTGCTCTGGCATTGTAATTGTATATCTTAGTTTATTCGAGCGTTGTAATTTGTGTCGTCAAAATTTGAACATTTACAAAAAGAATAATTTTTCATTCTCCACTGCAGAAAAGAGAGCTTTTTCGCATCCAACGGAATAAACATTAAGCATACAATCAATTTAGGATTTGTTTTAAAAAAAGTCTCCATAAAAACAATTTAGAACATAAATATATTTATAACGGGCTTCTTCCCTGTCTGTCAGGGCTCAATGGGTTGAAAGGTATACAATGTCCCTTTAGAAAGACCGAGATACTCGATAGAAATTCTCTGCACAAAGGAATCGAACTGAGGTCTTCTGCCCGCTACTGCAAAACGCCTAACCCTTCAACCATAAACGCTCGTGATAGACTCTAGAATCCATGATCAACCGACTACATTGGCAGCATGGGCAAAGTCTCTTGTGGTGTCGGGGCTACTTTAAAAAAACAAAACAAGCTACAACAATAGCAAAATGTACTTGCTTTTGCCTTGTTCCAAATATAATCTTTAAAGGAAAACTCGTTATAAGCAAAGAGTCTATATAACAAGAGGGGCCACTTCTCTCTTTGAGCCAATTAAAAAAGTGTCCGCAAAATTCGGTGGCGCCCTCATCGCAAAAGCGCACCTTTTGCGAACAGAGTTACCCTACTTGAGTTTTAAAAATCAAAGTGAAACTAGAAAGTTTTTGAATAAATTTCGGAAGAACGCTTTTTTAAAATGGTTACGCTGACAAAAAACCTCTTCCGGAGGAAAGGGTGATTGTTTTCGTCGTTAAATTTGACTTTAGAATGAAAGGCTAGAGGTCATTTAAAAAAAACAACTTAAAACTCCACACTGTACGAACCCGAACTGCTGATGAACAGCAGACGATCTGCGCACGCAAGGAGGTGCTATTCCTATTCTTCTTCTGGAAAAACGAAAGAGAGCTTCAAAACAGACTGCAGCGCCATCTGAAGCAAAGAGCATACTTCCTGCGGACACTTTTTTGGCTGAGTTGCCCATCTTGTTATTTACTATCTTTGGTACTATCTTTGTTATAAGTACGTGAAAAATACTTGCGATACTAGTATTATTTGAAAACCATGTCCTAAACTCCATACATTGAAAAGCTGGTACGTGCCAATGTGACGTTTTTCTTCTTCTGATGTATCTCTTTTAAATAGGAGCACTATTTGTACTTCGAAATATAGGCAATTGGCCTTAAATCACTGATTGAAATACCATACTATATCGTGAAAAGTACTAAGTCATCATTGCATGTCCTGCTCTATTGTTCAGTACCCTTTTCAGTTCGAATACATGGAATAAATAAATTTGGAAACACATGTACCCTCATATAATCTGTCCACATGGATTACTGTGAGAAACTGACCCGTTAACGTATAAAAAAACAACAACAAACCACTTGTCATGAGTGAGAATAAGTCGTTACGCTCCATTTTCCAGCTTTTTGTAGGTTACAAAGAGGCCGGAGACCCCTCGGAAAATGATCGTGGTAACTGGCGAAAATATGTAGTTATAATCCGTTTCACCTTATAGGTATAGCGTGGGACAAAATTATGACCAGACTCGGTTTATCTCTTCTGCTGCCAGCCACTGATCGGGGCATGGCAAACAGCAGGATTTAGGGAAGCGCTTAAGAGATAACACAAGCTGTCTTCTTTTCGAATTTCGTTAGAGATCGATATCATCACTTTTAAAACCAGTGTTCGGGAGAAAACGAGAGCTTAGCACTTTTTTGTCATTGTATAATTAATTAAAACCTCCAAATTATTACATTTTTGTTTCTGTTACACAATAAAATATTTGTGAAAGCTTACATGGAGGAAGGGAGGAGTTGCCTGGGCGTGTGGCGTGTGTGTGCGTGTGTGTGTGTATGTGTGTGTGTGTGTGTGTGTGTGTGTGTGTGTGTGTGTGTGTGTGTGTGT